TGACTTATCGACAGAAAATTACGAGCCTTGCTTGATTTTAATTAAAACTTTTATTTAATAATAACAACAACAACAGTAATAATAATACTGAAGAGTAATATTAAAATTACATTTAGACTCCGGATTTTTGTTCAAATTCATACTTCTGGAAATATAATTAAAAAGATAGAACGAAATAAAATAAAAAAATTATTTTATATACCACTTCGCTTTGAATATCTCATGGATATTTCAATATTGTGAGCATCCTCTGCAATTCCGTATTTTAAAACTTCTTACAAATGAATAAAAATCCGCACTCTAATTATATTATTTAATAGAATGATAGAAGAAACAATGACGAAACTGCTGAGGAGCTTAAAAAAATTCCATTCAGTTAGTTTTTGCTTTATCGAGTTATTTTGCACGTATGACATGGAGATCTCATGAAGCTAATCAGTATAAGTTATATCTCATTAAAAACAGCTTGTGTTACGCAATTACCTTGTGTTACTATCAAAATCTTTAGTTGATGGAAGAATTTAAACGCTATAATATAATCATCATTATTATAATTATAAACTGCTCCACTGATTAAAGACTTTGACAACGGTAGACACACAAGATGATTTTTAATCGAAAACACACTGACTTCGATTACATTTTCGGAGCTTTCCATATCTGAGGGCAACTTTTATTTTACCGAAAATAAAAAAAGAAAGAGAGAGAGAAAAAAAAATCACCGGTTGTCAGAAAATCGAATTGTATTTGCTGGATAAATTTTACACGCTGCTAGCGTGTAATATAGAGAGAAAAATGGTCGGAAAATATTGAAAAATATGGCGCAACATCCTTTGCCCGTAATCCCTGCGCAAAGGCGCGTTATTTATTGGATCCGCGTGGGTGGTGGGTTAGAATTTCAAGTGCAAAGACCCCTCTTCCAGCGCTTTCATCTCTTTTTAAAGCGAGCCTTTCGATGCAACCGTAGGCATTGTGCACATGAAATATCAAATGTCCACTAAGGCTTCCGCGGCGTAATTGAATTTCACAGAACGTCCCATCAACGTCAATATTTCATAAAAAGAAAATGTTAGTCTGACCCATTTCTGCACCCAGTTCGTTCGTTCGTTCCACACCACTTTGACATCGAGCTAATAGACCGCTATATTCGCGTAACTAATACAACGAGATGGTCGTCGGTGTACCATACATCATTTACAGCTGTATGAAGGGATCTATGGTGGTATCGGTCACGCTTCGTTCATCTCGATTCAACTTGAGCGATGAAGTCCGTAATTGCAGGTGAGTAATTTTGTGTCTCGCGTGTGCTGGAATGAATGCAGAAATAATGCGATCCAACAAATAACAATTCTCTGCTGAACGGGCAAGAGAGTGGAGATTTTAATCGGTACAAGTAGACTGTCGATTTTTGTAAATTTATGAGGAAATGTATAAAGTATCAAAGATAGAGTGGAAAAAAGTTTCTGTTTTTTTTTTTCTTCATTTCTGTTCACCCAAAGATATGAAATTACACGAACAGCTGTAATCTAAATGTAGGTTCAAAGAATAATAGATTTTTCAAACAGAAGAAGGCGAGACACTCGTGATAGCGAACAGTAGAAAGTAAAAGACAAATGGCTTAATAAGCCATATATATATATATATATAT